ATTGTAATATTTTTGTACCTTGCACTATATCTTATCTTTGTATATATTTAGTTTTCATATTCATCGTATATACTCTAATAAACATTTGAAATACTAAGGATAAAAACTTTTGCATCTTACTGTATATTATATGCAATTTAAATATAATATCAATCATTAATTTCGTAAATTAACAAGAGAATATAGATCATGAATTGTTTAATGAGATATTTTGAGCTAAAGTCATAACTTTTTAAAAGTTTGCTGATATTGGTTTATTCAATAACTTCAAAATACGTGTTCTTCGACGAATTTGATCTCGTCTTCTTGATTGTCTTAACACCAGCTTCTGCTTGAATAGGTTCAGCATCTACAAAAGATTGTTCGTTTTTTTTAAACTTTCAAAACTTTTGAAAAATTTGGATGACTTCAATTCATTAATGATGAAAACATGTTGTTCCATCCTTGAACTATATTATTTGTTCGATGTTGACCTTGAATAGTAGTCTGTTAACATTTCATAATGGTATATGCCGAATTGTGGTATTTTTCTTGGTTGTGATGAACGACTTTTAACACCTATGAATTTCTCTTCAAAATAATTTAATGTAGTCTCACCTTCAGCTGGAAATTGAGCTTTTATTTTATCAATTGTTGAAATAACGTTAGGAATTGGTAAACATCGTCATGCAGGTAATGATTAATTTTGTTGTGCAAAATTTTTATTTTCACTATATAATGTCTCTAAATCAAATTGTATAACAGAACAGTAAATGTTTTGACATAAATGAAAAAAACATCCATATAAGTTTGATGTTGGAAATAAACTTCTAATTGCATTTATACTTGCGCGTTCAATGTCGATCATTATATTTGGTGGATCAAAATTTGGTATCAGATTCTTTATATCTTTTAACATTTCTTTATATAAACGTTGTTTTTTACCTAAGCAAGATAGAGACATAACAACAAGAAAGTTTAAGAAAGATGCGTTACAACATATTCACTAGGTAGTAATATATACACTGCTGGTAATATATGATTTAAATATGTAGCATGAGTTATATATAGTTGAAAATATAATTCAGGAACCACACTAAATGTGCCATCTAAATATATCTTATTTGCATCTTCCAACATTTTTAGTTGTTTCTGTGTTGAGAATATTAGTATCCATTCATCAACTGTACCCAAATTGGATTGTAAAAAAGTTCGATTACGTGATGTTTTTATACTTAGGGCATACAAAAAGTATCGAGATTGATTTTATATTGAAGGACAGGAAGCTTGAAATAAATCTGTCTATAGATATATGTAGTACTAAGAATGCTCTACATGTTTTTATTATAGCAAGATTAGCCAAGTGATATTATCATATAAGAAATTTTAATAAAACTATGCACCATTCGTTTTAGATGAATAAGGGAAATTTTCGTTTCTGCATTAAGGGGCATACTGAACTTAACATTCAACCGAAATCAAATCATGATGAATTATATTCTGTTTTCAGTGATCAAGCTCCATCTTATAATGCAGTTGCCATATGATCAAAATGGTTTCGAGAAGAGCGAGAAGATATAGAAGATCAACAACCACATAGTTGACCAGTAACAGAAACAACATTTGAAAATATTGAAGAAGCTCGTTGCTTCATTGATGATGATTCTTATCTTGCGATTGATGAAATACAAATGGAGACGGCTATGAATCGTGGTACCATTGAACGAATTATTTCTGATCATCTGTAATGGAAAAACATTACCACTCGCTGGGTACCCATCTTACTGATCGATACATCACGAGCCGAACGGGTTCGAGTCTGGCAAGAAAATTTGGCAAAATTCCAGCAAGAAACATGACGGTCATGTGATGCAGTGACAGATGACAAGTCATGGTTTTACCACAAACAAAGCGGTCGAAAATCATCGAATGTTGCCTCAGCACTCGTTGGAGGAACTCAAACTAATGTGGTTCGATGCAGTCGTTTGGCTCCAAAGACTCTATTTTGCATATTTTTCAAAACGGTTGGTCCTGTTTTAATTCATCATGTTGATCAAGAAGAAACGATCAATCGGCGTATTACATCGATAATTGCTTGAAACATCTAATCAAAGAAATTCAGAAGGAAAGACAAACATCTGGTACATATGCCATAAAGCTTCATCATGATACCGCAAAACCACATGTACACAGCGATATTTCCAATTATCTCGACTCGGAAGGCATAAAAATTGTTCGGCAACCATCGGATTATCCAGATCTTGCACCATGTGATATTTGATAATGAGCTCTTATCAAACAAAATCGGACTCATTAAAACAGCTCACAATTCTTGCACCGTGCCGTAACTAACATGATGAATTCAATCAGCAAAGATGACTATAAAAAAAACTGTCGCTAAATGGCTAGAACAGATGCAGTTGTGTGTAAGTAATCAGGACAACTACTTTGAATATTTGATGAAATAAAATCTAGAATAACTTGCTTCTGTATTGTTTTTCTTGAAAATCTCGATACTTTTAGGGGTGTGTGTGGATATGAATGTGGATATGCAGATAAGCACACCCGCCCTCGTTCACACCCAAACCCTCAAAGATCCATACTCACAACCATTGAAACTGATTTGAATGGTCAATTAATTGTGGTAGATGATGTGAAGCTTGTTGTTGTGAAATGGGAAATGAGGATGAAGGAGAACGTGAATGATGAATTACTTTGCTTTTTTTTTCATTTTTACTTGGGTATATCCGATTGTAGTTTCTTTTAAAGTTCAGTCATCAATCGAAAGAATTGAACATCACCTTTTATTTGGCCATGCCAATAGTCGAAATTAGACTGATCATTCATCAATCGGATCTCCTCATAGGATCCATGTGTCGTGGTCATGGACCAGATCAAGGATAATACGGATATTGAGAAGAAGGGGGAGCAGCTCCCGCAAAAGTGGGGGTTGTACACCCCTCCAATAACTGAAAATTATTCATTGTTAGTCAGCAAAATTAATAAAGTTTTTGGAATTTTCTGCTAGAAAATTCTAAAAAGATGTTAAAACTTTTCGCTTCGTGAAAAGTAACCACGTGAGCATACTCGCCCTAAAAATATCTGTGACCTTTACGCTTTTATGGCAAGTTTACTCCTGTCTTCCTTTTGAAGAGCTTCTTTTTCGAGTAATTGTCACGAGTGTAGCCACTCTCGGCAGTAAAATTGCTAAAAGTTATTGTAACACTTTTTCCTTTCAAACAACATAAGAAAAAAAAGGATTTTTCATGAGTCAGAAAAAAATAACAATTGTGTAACCGCAGTTATCTTAGAAAAACTTTCTACTTCAGTCAATGCTTTCTTCAAAACAGCTTAATTTAGAACGATTTTCACCAGAGTGGTCGCTTTCGGCAACAAAAGTTTTGAGAAATCTTCTCAAGTTGGACACGAATTCTCTTGAAAATTTGCCAGAAAAAGTCAAGCTTTTCTAAGAATGTGGCAGAAACTTGTCGCTTCGCGAAAAACTGTTACATTTTGATCGCAAGGGAAGGATTATCAGATCTGATGCAAAAAAAATTTGCGTCTCTCAATATTGGATGCCTCGGAACCTCCTTACACCCCCCTCCCCAATCCTGAGATCTTCGCGCGGGATCTGAAGGAAAGTATAGCATAGCAAGAACGTGAGAAAGAATCATATGTTATCGCTGTGTCCGAAGGAAGTGATGCAATTTACTTTATACCATGCATGTTCTCTCGACAAGTGAAAGCAAAACTTATGTGTTATCCTGCGTACTGATATATTATCACTTGTTTTCCATTGATTAAAATGTAGAGAAATAAGCACAAAAAATAGACACGTCTAAAAAAATGAAGTCGCTGTATCACTTAGTTCTTGAATAACATGTCGAGAACAGATTTTCTCAACGTCGCAGCATCAATTTATGGCTCGAGATCACAACAAAGGACAATATGAGTAGTGTTTAAGCCATGATCATAAAATCAAAAAACTAAAAGTGATGTTCTGAATAGAACGAGACTATTTTTTGATAGGAAATATGGACGTACATCGGACAAATACTTGTGGTCAAAGAAACAACTTTTCCAATCTTTTATTCTTACATGTATTACGTAGTTCAAATCAAAACATTCTTTCATGTAATCGAATTGGTCGATGAGAAAATCTCTTTGCACTGTGTCTTGATTATTGCATGTTGGACCACAATCTGCATCTCGACTGCTCGTCGGAGAAAAACCGAATATAATAATGAGCTCTTCGAGTCACTGGTTTCTACAGTGATAAAAAAACAATGGACACCTATAAAACATTACTTAAGCATAAGATTTATTCAAGTGGAAATGTTTTCGAAAACTAAACATCAATCGTAGAAACAAGTATTTGATGAGAAATATTTGCTTGCAAAATCATTGATTGTATTGTAAATCGTTTTTTGAAAGAGACTTGACAAATTAGTTAGCTACTAACAGTGTTTAATGCGTTAAGAATAACGAAGAAGTTAATGTGAAGAGAATAAAAACAATACTTTCTGCAACGTTCACCTGAACATTGGCTACCATCGAATCATTTATCGCAATACTCATTAGAATCTGGTTGGATGTTCTTTTGTCATGTCTTTTTTATCTACGAGAATAACACTTGATTTTTACTCACTCTTGTCTAGTTTCCGCAATGCTTTTGTAAAATACGATTGTTCATAAGTATTGAAGTACTTTGGGAAAAAGTGAACCGCCTCTTCACAGACCATGATGGATATAAATATGCTCTTTTGATTTTCACAGACTATGACCAATGTTCCGACAGAGCAAGATAAGTTTAGATGTGATCTATTGAAAAATTGTTTGCTTACATATTGTTGAATAAAAGCTTATTGAATTTCAGCATCAGTGTAAGAACTCTAATTGCAGAAAAAATGATATATTAACATAGTAGTGATTGCCAAAAAATAGAAAAATGATTAGATATGGAATAATAACAATAATTAAGATTATTTTCAAAGAAAAATGTTATAGGAGTAAGTTGTTATTCATACATTGACTTGAACGACATGGTAATCTTTTGTTGTTATACTATGATTGTCTGCTGTTGTACTATGATTATCTGTTGTTACACTATGATTATCTGCTGTTGTACTATGATTATCGGTTGTTAAACTATGATTATCTACTGTTGTACTATGATTATCTATTGTTGTATCATGATCGCTTGTTATTATATCATGATCAACACTTCCAATGTTTGTTGATAGAATTTCTTTTTTTCCCTGAAAGTGTTGCATAATAACACTAAATAGCGGAAGAATCGTCAATCTACAGACAAGAGTAATAAGACGAAAAATTTCGAGACAGACGACTGTAAAAAGAAGATTGTGAAAGATGATTTCACGTAGTTTAGCAATAGGTGATTGGTGATTTTTGATATAATACGATGTTTCACTTAATACCATTGTTAATTTAGTTGATCTGAGATTTGCCATGGTAACATATTCTGCGGATGAAATAAACATATGATCTCCGTCAATCACAAATTTTGGATACCAAAGTCCAGAAAAATTCGCTTTATGTCCTGTAAGTGGTTCTGTTTCATTGATTGCCTATTTGTTTTTAGTATAAAAAAAAAACATTCAAAAATAACAAACTTTTATCATATGGAAGAGTTTACTTTGGTCAATTCTAAATTGATAGTCGACGATAGAGCAAGTGTTCGATTAGAGCCATCATAGAATGTTTGACTAAAATCGAGTTCTTTTAGTCGATAAAATCCATATTGCTTTTCATCAGCTGAAAGACTGACGCGTATAGCGCCAACAAGTTCAATATCATTAAGAATCCATTCAATTATCATCCTTTGATAGGGTAATTTGATAGCAGTTGATAGAATTCCAATAGAATCTGTACAAGTAGGGATCAGTTTAGTTGTTGATGATCCAAAAATTTGTTGAACGGACAAACTTTCGCATGTAAGAATGGTATTCAATAGATCTAGACGAAGAGTAAAAGTTTGTTTATTGAGAAGATTAAACATCGGTTGTTCTTCTTCGGATACTGGAATCGAAAGTGATTGTAGACCACTTTCATATTTCACATTACGGATTGTTTCACCACAAGTAAATGTCGATCGGCCAGCACCGTCGGATGGATATTCTTGATAAAAAGCTGCCGAAAACGAATAGGCAAAGAGGAGAAGAACAATAATAGCAAACGAAACCAAACCACCTACCCACATTTCACCTTCATTCTAGTAAAATAAAAAAAGAAACAATTAAAAGAAAAGAGAACCGTCTATTTTGTAGACTACTAACAATAAGATCAGTTTGTCGAAAAATTTTCTTCACATGACCACGCACTTCTTGACTTTTGGAACCTGGAACACAGGTTTTGAGTATACCCATAACAAACAATATGATAATAATAAAACTAATCATGATGAATACCCAAAACAAAGGTGCAATGAACACACAATCTTTCCTTGAACTAGTTGAAAACATGTTTTGAAGAAGAATTTCATCGAATACAGTGACTTCAGGTGAACGTGGATGAACGGATGCTTGTGATCGCGGAAGAAGAAGAGTTGCATCGATATCAGCTACCGCTCCCATTGGACAAAAACTATCTGACAAGCAAGTCATACACGAAAAAGCTGTTAGATTACCCGGATTTCGTGAGCCGCTTGGACATAGAGAACATGGGAAAATACTAGTATCTGCTTTGTATGTACCGGCCATGCACATAATTGGTTGACTAATAATAAATATGGAGTCGATAATAGATAACCTTGTCGATGCAAAATATCCAGGTAGTGCCGATACAATGAGAAGAATTTCACCGTAAATACCAAGTATAGCAAGTGAAGTTGACGTTGAAATCATTCGAATGAAACGAGCATTGACTGTTGTTGGTAAAGTTTGTTGAATATTAGGAAAGACAGCAGATGATAATGATAGCAAAGTCGTATTTGTCAATGATGTATACAAGTAAATTTTCGAAGAATCATTAGTTGGATGATTCGAACTTAGAATTGCTACTTGTGTATTCGATAGCCAGGTAACACTCTTTCCGAATCCTATTGAGTCTCCATTATCGATTAAACGTCCGAGCATTAAATTGCTACCATTTAAATTAACGATCAATAAAAATACAATATTAAGAAATGGCATACCAACCAGTACCTGAGTAGGATCGTCAAAATTGATGCTCACCGACATAACATAGTTATTTGACCATGTCTTAAGATTTGAATAAGTCAAATGAGATTGCCATGAATTAATCGCAGCTGTATATGACCATGTTGCTAATATGTTGAGATCAGAGTTTGATATGACATAGACTGTAGGTGTTGCACGCACTCGAAACCAGGGACCATTGACGACGAAACCAGCAACAATTGTAAATGAGATATGTGTGTCGATTGCTACGGGCATGAATATTGTGTTAGCAGGCCATACGAGACTGCTATTCTTTGTCGTAATTATATTATGAGAGAATGGTTGATAAATAAAGACAAAATCTTTTGCTAGACCAATCGCGAATTGACCGTAGGGTTCAACACCAAATACAAAAAACTCTTGATGCCCATAAGACGAAATAAACTGAAGTGATTGATATTCAAAATAACTGCAATTAAAGCTTTCGGTCCTTTCTGACTTTTTATTAACTAATATTCCGATAAAGGCATAGCTATGATCTGATGAATCAGTAGCCGATACATTGTCCGGTATGACTTCGCCAGCATAAAAGAAATGCAATTGCTTTGAATTTTGTTTTTTACCAATACCAACTGAATATACATATTGAGTCGAATAATTGTACGTAATAGAACATTCGAGTGAGTGAGACGTATCATTGTAAGGAGCGGTTCGAATAAGAAATTGTTGAGTATCACTGAAAGCTTCGATTATCATTGCATCGTTACCGGCTATTTTAAGACCGTAGGCATCATGATCTGAGGTGTCAGGCAAAAATCGACCAGAACTTGCATCAATTCCCAATATGATAATAAACACTAATAAATGCATCTGAAAACCAAAACATTTCATTTAACTTTAGAGGTGACATTTTCTTGTTAATTTCTTTTAAATTGAGATTTCTTAAAATTTATTTTTGGAAGTATTAAATTTTCGTAAATGTGAATTGATCATTTTCCCTTTAGCTTTATAGTGCTTTCTAGCTTTTTTATGTATTTTATAAGAATTCAACTTTATTAAAGTAGCTCTAAATTAGAGTGAGTGTGGAATGGTAGAACATATTGTTGTGATGAAATTGATTGAAAAAGTACCACTTATAGATGAATACTTTTTACAGCTGCTATTCAATGTCATTCACATTACCCATTAGGATACAAATAAATTAGAAAAAGAAACATACTAGCTTTATTTAATATCTTCGTAGCACAAATTTTATCTGTTGTACGGTGCACACATTTATATATTAGAGAGAGAAAGAGAGAACAGCGTTCAACCGTAACAGATATGTAAGAAAGTAGAGGTCAAAGAAGAAAAGAATAGTGACTAGATTGCCTAGACAAACAAGACAATAGTTCAACGTCGTTCGAATGTGTTAAATTCGAAAGAAGAGAGAAAAAATACATTAGAAACTGTTGAGAACACCGATGTATTGAAACGGGGTCACATTGATTTAAACAAATTTCAATGTGTTCAGAAAGAAAATATTTCACCGTCAAAACTTGTGCGTCTTCATACGTCCGAAGACACTACATATAAATGTTCAGTGGACACTGAATGAAATCCGTCAATGATATGTATTTCACAGAAGCATTCGTTGTCTTGAGAGTAAATGAACTACTTTTGTTTGAAGATATTGCATAAGAATTTTTATATAGAATTCCATTGAAACAGGCTGTGCGTTTTATAAATGACTTGAATTAGTTTTGTTTTCAAGCAGCAAGTTTTCTTTTTGTAGGCTCATTACGAATAATCTAACGTGAAATGTGATACGTTCCCAATTTCGATTAGTTTAGAAATTGATAATCTTATCATTTTTCATATAACAGTAAAATATCTGCACGGTTACCATCTATGGGACTTTTCAACTGTTCTATAATATAGCGACTAAGTGATTCTAAAAAGAAATTTTTTTTTCGAAAGAATAAAACTGTTGACGAGGTTATCTGAATAAAGTCAATAAGTTCAAGAAACTGCCTCGTGCACAATCTCCTCATGAGGTTTTTCTTTCTGAAAGATCCATGAAATTAGAATTATTAAAAATAATATTTAATGAAAATGTTTTTTTTTCATGTCGCTTTCGAATTGAAATTAATATCATATACTTGCGATTCGAGTTTCAAGATGAGAAATTCAGTATCAACTGTCTTTGTCATGCACCATGATTCATACATTTATGTTTTTCTTTTGCAAATAATAACACATTTCTTTGCTGTTATCGATTTTCGGCGTCCGATACGCATTAATTTTCAACTGACGCATAGAGAAACATTGACTATTGTTCGCTCGTTCGGTTTATTCATTTTAGTATTGCCACTGTGTCGTTCGTTTTTACTGTATCCATCACGAAGTAATATAATGATGTTTCCTTAGAAAAAATTGCAAATATGTAAACTTATCAGAATTATTGTATTTTAATACGTTGATACGAACAACTACAGTAAGGTGGTTGCATGCGAACGCATCGCAACGGTTTCAGAGAACGCTTAATTCACGGTTGAATTTGACCGAATTCTCGATGTTTTGATGCACTGAAGTTGAGAACGCAATGAAAATTAGCGCTATAAAACTTATTATAATCGGTTGGATGTGTAAAACATTGTACCATGTTAAAACGCAAAAGTCCAGACAAAGTCAACTGTTTACATGGCGTTGAAAGGAAAGAAAAGTGTCATTGTTTCAATACATTTCTTTCATATTTTTTACTGTTTGAAAAGAGAAGAAAGAAGATAGAGATCATGGTGATACTTTTCGTTAAAATCCTTTATACTAATATGAAAGTTTTTCCGATAAGTTGTGTGACGACGGATATTTTTCACAGAAAAGAAAAAATGAAAACGCAAGTGACAAAGTGACATGTTACGAATATCTGAATTATAAAACACAATTCCTGTGCTTTCGTTCGCACGAAATTTATGACTGAAAAATATTGCTTATTCTGATGAATATGATACGACTAATTGTTGACAGCTGAAATTAAACGAACGTACTGGAAACGAATATCGATGTAATAATAGTTAATGTATTCTGATAGTTTTTACATAATGTTACATTCTAAGCATGTAAACTCTTGTGTTTTGGGAGTTTTTACTCGTTCTTATCACATTTCTTGTGCAACCAGTAAAGTATGCATATTCGAGTAACGATGATGGAAACAGTTTTTTTAATAATAATGATATAAATTGAAGACAATAGTCATAAACGGAGATAGGCAACACATTATTCTAAAGTAATATAATGAAAGAAACAGCTTCAAATTTTTTTTACAACATTGTAACGTGGTTAGCATTGATTCGGGTAAAAATATTATTGTTATTTGGCTCGACTCAACCCTAAATGAAATGAATGGTTTGATCATTGAATGATATTGTTTTTACAATTTAGTTTTTCCATTTGATGAATCTTATTCATGCGTTGATTTTTTCACCAATTTTCACTGTCAAAATGTCTTTCTTATTATATAACGTAATCATGTCATAATCATTTTACCACTCTTGCATGGTATGTCACAACGAGATTCTGTTTACATTTTTCGTAGTAATAAAATCGTGCATAATGATTAGATTAGAGAATGAAGAGAAGTTCGAGAAATCTTCGACGATATCTCATTCATTTTTTGTCAATTACAACGAAACACTCGACTTTGCAGAGAAAACATAATGCCAATTATTATTGTTATCGAGACTTCTACTATGAATTTCAATAAGACTGGATTGTCATTTATGTATGCGAAATGACCAAAAGAAATCTTTATCGCAATAAAACATGATGAAATCGTGAAACAAGTAATTATCGATTTTCTTTATGTTTTATATGCTAACAAAAAATATACTTTAATACTGTCGATGAATTTAAACATTCTAATGAATATCATTCATCAGTTGGCAGGTATAAAAAAAGAAACTTTTATCTATTCAATAGTCAACTGACTGTTGTGAACACTAAATATTGATGGTATTTTGAAGATGGAAAATTTTTGTTGAAGATCATCATTAAAAAAATCGTACAATTGCATTTAGAGACTCATCGTACGATGAAAATGGTTGCTTTTTGTGGTCAAGACATATTAAATGTTGATGTTCAAAAAAAAAAAAATAAAGAAAATTCAAGGTCACTTCATTCAAAAATTTCTTATCAACAAGTACTGATGGTTTAGTTTCTTATCGTTTTGCGGAGAGTTCTCGATCAGATCTAAATCTGACAAAAATTCTGTTTGAAATAGAAATTTTTGTTTTTGATTCCATCAGTTCCGATTACTTCATAAGATCATACCAATTATTATTTAAATTTGGAAAAAAAGTTCTCTGCGTCATACATATAATAGTTCGAATTGGTGACATACATGAAATCGAACATCGATTGTGAAAAATTAAAATTAATAAAGAACAATAATGAGCAGCTAAAATATTTGACTGAATATATATGAAAAGAAAGGGGTCGATGAACTCAATATCATCGATTAGATTGGTTGATGATTCAGCTAAACAAGTTCGACAAAGTCGACAAGCTTTACAAAAAAATTCTTGAAATGATAATCATCAATGATTGGGAAGAATGTGCCATATTTCATAATTAACTTTGAGTTATTCACGCTACTAAATGTGATGAAATGAAAGCACTAGAATTCTACGAAAAAGCAATCAAAATTTGTCAGATAGTCTGCTCTTCTTCTACTCATTCTGATCAATCTATGACAGATAGTAAACCTGTTTTAGTATATTAATCAATGGAGAACCATGAGGCTGTACTTTTAATTTTAAAAAAATCACATGGTGTTAAAGAAAAAATGCATTTCTTGAGTGACTTTAATTTAAGAGTGACGATTTTCTGTCAATTTACTCTAAAGAATGAGTAGTGTTAAGGTAACTTTTCGGCTCAACATATTTTAAAAAAAAAACTATACAAGGGTAACAAGTTTTATATGACCTACAATCTTACAATAGTTATTCACCTTCACAAAATATCGATATTTTTTACTATTGCGCCCTTCCCCTACGGAGTTTCTGGAAACCTTTTTCAAAATCCATTTTCAAGACATATCTAGTCATATCACGTTGATCACTTCAATTAGAAAAATCGCTATTAGAAGTCTCGAATCTGTAGCATACAGATAAAAGACGAGTCTTACTGAAGTTGGGTTTTAGGCCAAAAACTGAGTTTCGAGTGTCTTCCTGACTTAAAGAGCTTGCCAAATCTGCCAAAGTACCTGTGTAATACATAAAATGAGGTCCTTCATTCGAATATGCAGAAAAAACATGTTGAATCAGAAGGATTTGACTGAAAAATTAGTTTTCTGATCCAAACGGACTTCCAGCTTGACTTTTAGGACTCCAAAAAAGTATTCTGAACAACTTTGAACATTGAAGTGATGCAGACAACGTAGTACAGTCTTATAACATCTTTTAGAAGAAAGGAGAAAAGCTTGAAAAAAATGTCGACTAGGAGCCTCTGGAGACCCTTTAGAAAAGGTGTGGGTGTGAGTATAGATGTGTATGTGAATGTGGGTATATAAATCGGCACACCCACACCCATCCACACTATGAAAAACTCAGTTGTTGACAAGCACGATCTTTATATAGAATCAAATATGGACAAGTTAGCGTTTTTTCTATACGAATTAAGTCAAATTTAACCTGACTTGCTCATCAGTAGACAGACTTTGACATTCCCTTCTCTTACAGCTTGTTTGAATAATTATGAAGAACTTATTAAAACTCAGATAATAGACAAAGAAAATTCTTTTTATATGAACAACTTTTAGCTAAGACGTAGATCTATGTTACACATAATTCTTGAGCATAATATCAATGATTGCGAAAATACTTTATGCGTCA